TCCTCCTCACCCCCTCTTCCACCTTGTCCTCATCCTCCACCTTTTTCCCCTTTGGCTTCTTGCTCTACTACCAGTACTTCTGCTCATATCAAGTCCTTTCCTGGACTTAGCTTTGCATACAAAGACAAGTCAGTATGCAACTGGAGAACACCTGAGAGCAGGTTTGGAGCTGTGGCTAGGGTGCCTATTAGTGGTGTAGGGACAAATATGCAAAAGGGTACCACACATCCATACTTTCTCCTTTGATAACTTCTCTTTCTCTGCCTTTATAGGCCTAGTGCCTAGATTAGGGCCCACAGTATAGAAAGAGTCAATACGTTTTTTTGAATAAATGAAGCAAGAATATAATCCTTGTAATTCTTAGGCTAAATTTTTCAATATGTGGCCCATGGGCCGTGTGCATCAAAATCACCTGGGGAGGTCTACTAATGTATTTTCATTAAGATACCTCAGACCTATTGGGTCAGGATCTTGAAGGTAGGATCTAGGAATCTGAATATTTAACAGGCATAAGTGTGGTAATTATGTGTTAAAGGTGTTTTGTTTTTTTTTTCTCTGTAGTCTTTTGAACTTATTAAAAAGCCACCAAGAATTGTAAAACTATAACAAATTACAAACTGATGAAGACATATATAGTGGATAGAATCCTCCCAGGATTCCTTAAAATTGAGAGTATTCATGTTTGTGAAATCATCTGAATATACTGGAATTTATATACTGGCATGGTGAGGTTTTGTTTTTTTATATGAAGAAAATACCACACTCTCTAGAAAAGTGCTATCCAGGGGCACCTGGGTGGCTCAGTCGTTAAGCATCTGCCTTTGGCTCAGGTCACAATCCCAGGGTCCTGGGATCGAGCCCTGTATTGTGTTCCCTGCAAATCGGGGAGCCTGCTTCTCCTTCTCCCTCTGCCCCTCAGTCGTGCTCGTTCACTCTCTTTCTCTCTCTCTCTCTCTCAAATAAATAAAATCTTAAAAAAAGAAAAGTGCTATCCAATAGAACTTTTTTCAGTGAAGGAAATATTTGATATCTGCTCTAGCCAATATGGTAGCCACTACCTTCATCTGGCTTTTGAGCCCTTAAATTTAGCTATGCAACTGAGGGACTAAATTTATTTTATTAATTTTAATTTTAATTAAATAGCCACGTGTGTCTGGTAGCTACCATATTGGACAGTGCATCTCTAGAATTTATACTGAATTATGTGTCATTTGTGCAGTAGATAATATATTTCCCTTATTGCTCTCCAAAGCATATATGTGTGTAGGGTGCTATAAATCAGACACTCATTTATTCATTATTTAACACCTATTATGGGCCAAATACTGGGATAAGCATTGAGAATGCCATATGAAAAAAAAATTCCTGTTAACAAAATGATCACAACCTAATATGGGTAGCAGGCATGTAAACAGCTAAGGTGCATCCTTCGCTTTCTATTTTACTAAAATTTTAATTGGCTTAACCAGCTTTTTACCTCAGTGGTTAACCAAAACATAATTTTAAAGCAAGCCATAATTAAGCATATAAAGTCATTTAGTAGCAATCTGGTTGTCATGTTAGACTTGTTCCTCATGCTCATTGCAAGTGAAAACATTACTATAATATGTACTTGTATATCCCATTGAAACCTTTCACACTGCCTGAAATTTCCCCATTAATATTTAGCCAAAGTATTTTCATAATATCAGAAGCCCCCAATATTTGATTAAGATCTTATTACCAAGGCCCAAAGACACTACAGTCTTTATATCAAATAATTGTCTTTTGCAAAATATAAAAAAACCTGTTTGACCTGTACAAAGACCAGGTATTTGTTATTATAGTAAATAAGAAGAGCAGGTGCTTAATTTTCAGAGGGATTCAGAGTTGTCAACATTAGTGACCTCTTTGTGGTTTTTAGAGCTATTTTTCAACCCCCATATGTCCACAGAACTTTATTATTTTTATTTTTTTTTAAAGATTTTATTTATTTGACAGAGACACAGCGTGAGAAGGAACACAAGCAGGGGGAGTGGGAGAGGGAGAAGCAGGCTTCCCACTGAGCAGGATGCCCGATGCGGGGCTCAATCCCAGGACCCTGGGATCATATCCTGAGCTGAAGGCAGACGCTTAACAACTGAGCCATCCAGGTGCCCCCTCCACAGACCTTTAACTCAAACAGCAGCAAATGGCAAAGTAAATGAATAGTATGTCTTAAGTATCTGATTTTTTTTAATTTTCCAAATTAATGAATCTCTGCAATGGAGATTAAGTGTACGCTAACTTACAGTGAAAAAATGAACATCACCAATTGAGCACTGACTGACCAACCACTCTGATAAGCAAGCAATCTATATTAAGATCAGTGAAATGGGGCACCTGCCTCCCTTGACAATCTTGATTGAGAATATCAACAAGACTATGGTCTTTCTAAAACATAGATTGCATATACAGGATACTGTGTATTTTCTCATCACCTTAACTAATTTTATGCTGTATACAAAGAGATACTCTCATTTGTCCATGACATGTGTATGTTTTCATATTAATGGGAAATTATAAAGCCTGTAACTAAAAATCATATCTAGAATATAAGTTTCAAGGAAAGACTAGCAATTAAAATAATCAGTTACCACTTGTATTTTGAAAAAAATCAATGACTTTGTTTCTTTGATTAAGGACTTCCTTGAGTGCAGGTGTCCATGCTTTATTTTTTTTTAAGATTTTATTTATTTATTAGAGAGAGAATGAGAGACAGAGAGCATGAGAGGGAAGAGGGTCAGAGGGAGAAGCAGACCCCCCGCTGAGCAGGGAGCCCCATGCGGGACTCAATCCCGGGACTCCAGGATCATGACCTGAGCCGAAGGCAGTCGCTCAACCAACTGAGCCACCCAGGCGCCCAGGTGTCCATGCTTTAAATTTTAACGTGGTCTAAATCACTACTGTAACATGCAATATATAGAAAATGAAAATGTTTATGATCAGAAAGTGTGAAGACGTTCAAATATATAAATTACTGGAGTTCCCAAGAGCCACGTGGCTGTAGTTTGAGATTTAGATATAATAGAAATGTCTCAAATTTGCAGGTGATCCTGAAAAATCTATCATTTTTTATATTTATTTCTATTGTATATCTTTTCATATAGAAGAGAAAAAGAAAGTGACCCAAAGCAGGAAAATGAATTGACTAATTTCTTCTATCTAGAAGTTTCTCCTGTTTTAAGATCTTAAGGAGATGTATTTCACTTTGGGCCACTGGAGAAAACAGCTGAGAAAGAACTACAGTCCTGACATCCAGACCCTAAGACCGTAGGTGACATCCCCATGAGCATCTAGCACAGAATAACTGTGTCTATCAGGTGGGGCCATGGAGAAGTATGGAAATAGCACACCCCCCAATATGGTGCTTTCATCTCCATAGGGACATGAATCAGCTACCATAATCAGCAAACAGATTGGATGGGAGAGATCTCAGAACTCCATTCTGATCTAGGAATAAAAATGGAGACTGTGGGGGGTGCCTGCGTGGCTCATTCGTTAAGCGTCTGCCTTTGGCTCAGGTCATGATCCCAGGGTCCTGGGATCGAGCCCCGCATCAGGCTCCCTGCTCCGCGGGAAGCCTGCTTCTCCCTCTCCCACTCCCCCTGCTTGTGTTCCCTCTCTCGCTGTGTCTCTCTCTGTCAAATAAATAAATAAAATCTTTTAAAAAAGGAAAGAAAGGAAAGAAAGGGAAGAAAGGGAAGGAAGGAAGGAAAGAAGAAAAAGAAAGAAAGAAAGAGAAAGAAAAAGAAAGAAAGAAAAGAAAGAAAGAGAAAGAAAGAAAGGCAGACTGGTAGCATATGGCCGTCCTGTTCTGGGTGCAGTCTCTCAAACAGCAGGACTGTGATACCATGGATACCACACCTCTTGCCCATATTTGCACTTAATATATTATTTCATTTTATTTGTTTGCCTAAGGAGGGGGCAAATAGCATTTGCACTAGGGCTTTGGTAAATGAGTCAGTCATATTTAAATAATGAAGAGAATGGCATGCTATGAGCTAAACAGTAGAAAACTCTCTGAAAGAAAGAATGGGGCTCCTGCGAGTGTCCAGAACTGCGTTCAGAATTCCTATACATTCTCTGTAGCAATAGGATCAGAATTTCCCTGCTGCCTTATTTTCAAGTTGGGGTCAGGAAGTCCATCTCTCCAAAATATACTTACCTAGAGCTGAGACTGCAGCAACTGTGCCCCTTGATTTGATCCTTGACATATTTGGCATTTTTTATTTTGTGAAAGGGAGCAAATTTCATGTTCTGAGACAGAGAATCAATGTTGAGAGGAGAGACTCAGAATGCTCTAGAAAGAAGGGGGCCTAACGGGGAAGATCATTTGTTCAGAGAATAAAGACTATCCCTCTGAAAAACAAACTGAGGGTTCTAGAGGGGAGGGGGTGGGGGGATGGGTTAGTCTGGTGATGGGTATTAAGGAGGGCACGTTCTGCATGGAGCACTGGGTGTTATATGCAGACAATGAATCATGGAACACTACATCAAAAACTAATGATGTAATGTATGGTGATTAACATAACAATAAAAATTATTAAAAAAAAAAAAAAAAAGACTATCCCCATTCCTCATTCTCCAGGGAAAGGATGCTTGGCCTTCACCATAGCCAAGGTTTTGGGATACAGACAGTGGTCGCTACAAGGTGGTTCTCTGATGTAGGGCTAACGGGCCGAGGGGAAAGGAGGCAAGAGAGCAATAAGAAAGGAGTCTGAAGAGATAAGGAAGTAGGGGTGCCTGGCTGGCTCAGTCGATGGAGCGTGCAGCTCTCGATCTCAGGTTGTGGCTTCAAGCCCCATGTTGGGTGTGGAGGCTACTTAAAAATGAATTAATTAACTAATTAATTAAAAAGATAAGGAAGTAATGGTAAAAGGAATAAGTGGGATCCTCTGTAGGACGAAATATGTAAATTCAGTCATTTTAAGAAACAAATCAAAAGGGACAAAAAGTTAAAAATGAAGGAGAGGCAAGATGTCTTATTTAAATGTAAGATGGCCAGCACCTCGGTGGCTCAGTGGTTAAGCGTCTGCCTTCAGCTCAGGTCATGATCCCAGGGTACTGGGATCGAGCCCCACGTCCAGCTCCTGGCTCAGCAGAGAGCCTGCTTCTCCCTCTGCCTCTCCCCCTGCTCGTGCTCTCTCTCTCTCTCTCTCTCCTTATCTCTGTGTCTCGAATGAGTAAATAAAATCTTTAAAAAAATAAATAAATAAATGTAAGATGGCCAATCATTGCATGTTAAACCAACTTTTGGTTGGTTTCAGAATCACAAGTGCCTGGCGAAGAGCTGATGTATGCAAGAGTGTATCTTCACCATTAGAATGAGAAGTACTTGGAAGTAATAATTATTAGCATATTTTCAAGCTTAAGGGGGGAAAAAACAACTGAGACTATACTAAAATGTTTTTCTGCAGTTTTTCTCATGGTAAAGCACATAGCAGAAACTTGACAAGAATAAATTAGCACTCAATACTTTTTTGAGGGGTTAGGGGAGTTTTGGTGAAGGTAGTCCAGCTATGAAGAAGTGAAAGAGCTGAAACACATCAAGTCTCGTGTTAGAAAAGATTAGAGGTAAAACTGGATACCTGCATTACAAAACCATTCTTTGACTATGGATTAACAGGAAAAAATTGAACTTGCAGTAGGAAAAAAACCTATGTTCCAGTCTTAGTTCTATGACTTACTGAATATGGCAAATATTTTAGTTTCTCTGAGACTATTTCTTTGTACCTACAAATGGTACTTTAATTTTTTTAATTATTTACATTATTACTGATATGATACATCTATACCAAATAAATGGGAAACACACACTCTCCCCCCGTCTCTCTTTCTCTCTCTCTCTCTATATATACATACATACATTCACACACAAAAGAAATAATATATAATATACAGGTGCAGTAATGTCCCCAGATAAAGCATAAACAACTCAAACTATATAGTAATTTATTATTGATCTTTAATAAAAATATTTAAAATATGTCTTTTATTTAGGACTGGAGAAGCTTGCACAAAAAGGGAAATCATTGTCCCCTTTAGCAAGTATAACTGGAATATCACTCTTTTTGATTATATCCGTGTGTCTTCTCTTCCTATGGAAAAAATATCAACCCTACAAAGGTAGGTTAAAATTAGAAAGAAAGTTTACAAATTGTTTTATATGTGTACTAAAAAGTACCTTACTATGGTTTTTTTCCTCTTGGTTTTAGTTATAAAACAGAAGCTAGGAGGCAGGTAATATGTATGTTCCTACAAAAATAATTTTTTCCTGAATTCTTTTTCCTCAATTATCATCACTGACAGAAATACCCATTTTTTTTTTTTTCAGGACAGAAACAGAATACAGGAAAGCTCAAACATTTTCAGGTAATGGCCATGCTGAAAGGGACTAATATCAATGTTAATGTATATGAATTAATATTGTTGATATTAATTATTATATATAATATACTATTGATATAATAGAATTCCCATAAGCTAATATTGATATAATACTAACAGTCCTTTACCTTTGAATAGTGCCTTCACTTTACAAAGTGCTATCCCTTGTATTGGTTTTATCTAAGTCATGCAAGTCTATAAAATAAGCCTGAAAGGCACTCAACTCCATTTTATAGGCAAGAGAACCAAGGGTTGGAGATTAAGTCACTTGCCCACCGTCACTGAGTTCTTTTGAATCCTAATCCACTGATCCTTGTATTATTTTGAAAACGCCCAGGACCTTCTCAATTTAGTCTTTCCTAAAGCAGGTACAATGCTGGCAGCTCCATCCCAGGGAGAAAAGGAAAGGGAGGTTTGACATCTTTGCTGCTTCTTTGTCCTCAGATTGCCCCTCATTGTCATTCACTACTGACTCCCTACAGAGTTGTTATAAGCTAACAATGGGGCTTTAACTCAGGTCTTGGAGTCACATGGAGCTGGGTTTCAGTGCCATATATGCCACTTTTTTCCAGTGTCACCTTGAGAAAATTAATTAATTTTTCTTGACCTCAACTTCCTCATCTATATCATAGAGATAATAACACACACACACCAGGGTTGCTATGAGAATTAAATACAGTGATGTAGGTGGAGTGCCTAATACGCCTGGATGCTTAGTGAATGTGGGTCTGCTTCCTCTTATCAAGCCCCAGAGACCATCTGGTTCCTCCCAACCACCCCATTCCCATCATTTTACAGATGATAGTTTGGGTGATTTTGATACTGCCTTGTATTATATTTTGGATACGTGGGCAGCTATATTTAATTATGTATTCTTATTAGTTCTGATGGTCTCTGTTTTAAATTTGGCAGGGTGCAGTACATATTATGTGTAGATTAAGAAATGCTGTGACTCCCAGGCTGAAGCCTTGGTGTGCTCTTTGGTAACTCAGAGTTAAAAAGGACAAGCCTGCCCACACGTGTTCATTTGAATATAGAATACACCTTCCCACATCAGGCTTTAAGAATAATTGTCCCAATTTAGTTTCAATTCTCACCTTCTGAAGGAGTGATTTCCAACACTGCTTAGTGACAATATGACTGTAGGGGATTAGGAAATGTTAAATTGGTTTTATACACATACCACTTGAAGCAAACAGTAAAGATAAGTTTTACAAAGGCTTAAAAAAAAAACTACAGTAGCAATTCAAGGCATTTGATTTGTAAGTAGTGTTTGTTTTACATTTCAGGCCATGAAGATGCTCTGGATGACTTTGGAATATATGAATTTGTTGCTTTTCCAGATGCTTCTGGTGTTCCCAGGGTTGGTTTCCCTAGTGGCTGATTAACCAGAGGTGTAAGCGGCATTCAGTTAAGCACTCAGGCAGTGTGCTCAAATGGCTGTGCTACCCTCAGCAGAGTTTACTCGCTTTGTAGTGAATGATGTTGCCGGATCTGAGGAGCTAAAGCATCTTTCTTGGCCTTTATAAGTAAGGCTAACACGAATTAGGAAGTTACACTAATTCGTAAACATTCTTTACCTGGTAAGCTCAGCGAAGAGAGAACTAACTAGGTTGAAGTTCAAGAGAACTTAACAAATAGGGGATCAGGGGACCCTGATTTAAATCATTCTGCATCACCTTGATAGCTACAGCCTGTCACTTCACTGAACTCTCTCTCTCTCTGTTCCTCACTTTCCCTTCCCTTCCCCTCATAACTTGCAAAGACAATTGATCATACCCTTACTCTCTTCAGAAGAAAGGTACCGTATAAACCCGAAGTATGCAAGTACACATCTTTATTTTTTATCCTAAAGGTGCCTGAGATGTGAGAAGGGGAGCCTTTACACCACTGAAATATTTTTTCAGTTTGTAAAGACAAAGTCTTTTAAAACAATCTGTTTTGTTTAACAGACTTAAAGAATGTTCTCTGAGCTAATAAGCTCGTTAGCATTTTTATAGATTTCTGTAGGGCCAGTCTTACCTCTGCTTTCTTGTTCCCCTATGATAGTTTACTTAGGGAAGGGGCCATAAACAGTCTGCTTGCTTCAGGGCATTTTCATTTCCTTTTTTTTTAAGAACTATTTGTCATTAGGGATTGGTTACCTCACCTGTCTGTTCAGTGAATTCTATCAATGCATAAGGTTCATACAGTAATTTTCCTAGCCACAGACTTGACTTTACAAATGCTATGTGAGTAATAGAGGGAGACTGATTTGTATTTCATCCTCCTAAGGGCATGTTGGTAGCACCATGATCACAGATGAAGGGCAGAACTGCATTGCAAAGCTTCGCACTACCCTATTCAGTCTCAGACAGCACTGGTTCACCTTTCACTTCTACAATGAAAAAGACAAAAATAAATATTTGTAGATCAGTTATTTCAAACAGCTTCTCACCACAGCAGAAAGCCCCTTGTCAGGTGTGGCTTTTAAATAGGAGAGCAGGAAACTGAAGAGCTGGTAAGACTTAGAATTGAATTTTTGAATCTAGGGAGTTTATTTATAATAATGCAGTTTTTATTCCTAGGAATTCATGAGAAAGGAGTGAGATCTATGTAAGAAACTTTAAATTTAACCTTGTGATTAATTAGTATTCAGTTTGAAGATGTTATTGGGAAGACCTGTATGCTCAAAATGCTATAATCCTCAAGAACTTGGGGCAGAGAAATGAGCGCTTTGATTACATATCAGAAGCTGCCCTTATTTCTGTTATAAGTAGAATCACTTAATTTGGAGCCATGCCCATCTTCAAAGCTGAAAATTCCTGAGGAGTCAGCTAAGGTTCTTCATTGGTGGTACAAGGTGCTTTAGAAGAAGTGAGAAATCAACACCAATAATGGAAGGAAAAGGATGAGGAACAGGACATGTGTAGGAGAATCTGCATTAGAAGAAGCCAGCGCAGCAGTTACGTGTGAAGATTAGCAGCCAAATGCAATGGCTTTGAGAAGAAAAGGAAAAATAATAATAAGGCCAAGATCTCAAAGTTGAAGTTAAGAAGGGAAATAAATTACTAACTTTTTGAATTTTTAAAAATAAGAATCATCTCTCAGCTTGTGGTACATGGACATGTGGAATCTTCCTCCTGTCTACTTGCTGTAGATTTTACTGTCCATTTAGCCCCTCTTTGGGGTATTGGACAGAAAGCTATGGCATAAAATGAACAAATTTATTACTTGTTACCAGCTGATATGAGCTTAGGTGAATAAGTTATTACCTATAGATTGCTTTTATCATAGCCCCCAAGCACCCCCATACCAAAAAAACTCAAGAGTTGATCTCAAGTACATTTGACCCTGGAACAACATGGGGGTTAGGGGTGCCAAGGCTACCCAATCAAAAATCTGCCTATAACTTTTGACTCCCCCAAAACTTAACTACTAGTAGCCTACTTTGACCAAAGTCTTAGCAATAATATCAACAGTCAATGCCTATTTGTATTATATACTGTATTCTTACAATAAAGTAAGCTAGAGAAAAGAAAATGCTAAGAAAAGCATAAGGAAGAGAAAATACATATACAGTATTGTCCTGTATTTACTGAAAAATATCCATGTATAAGTGGACCTGCACAGTTCAAACCCAATTTGTTCAAGGGCCAACTGTACAAATGGTAAACCAAGATCTCCTTGGCACAAAAATGATAGGATGAATCACATATCCTAGGGCTGCATGTGAGAACTTAGGCAAGTGGAATGGAAACTGTTTCCAAAGAAAACACAGAGCTAAGATGTTCCAATGCAACATAGCAGATTAAATTGGAATGAGATAACAAACTCTTCAGATGATTTATCAAGGGCAAAGAGTCCTCTAGGTGACACTCTATAAATACAAAAGACTGAAAGTGATCCATTGGAAGTGTGATGAAAATTGGAAGAGCTTGGGATGAGGAGGGGAACCAGACTTTAGCTAACTAATTGGAAGGCAATGTTTACAAGAAGAAAATTATCAGATACAAGGAAGGGGAGTTAATAAAACATGAATGCCAGTTTCAGCAAAATACATGTTGGTTTTTACCAGGCAGAAATGTACTGCAGTGCTTCCCACATTCTTCCAAGCCTTTAGTTAGAGCCCATCCATGACTGCATTCAAACCAAAACATCTCCCTTTGTGTGTTCTGTATTTCTTGGTACTGTCTGTATTAACCTGCAGTGTGATGAGGGCTTTTGTCTACACATTATTCTTTCTTTTCAACCATCCTTGCACATGGAACTGGGAAACAGTGTCAAAAAGCTAATTGAGATGTAATATAAAAGATAATCGTATATGCTCTCTGATTCTAAGCTGTCCTGATATCTTCTCTTTTGCCATTTTTTTCTGTCTATTATATTTCCTTTACAGTACTGCCAGCTTTTTTCTTAAATGAAGAAAAAAAAGTGATAGTGTTGTTAGGCTGTCCCTCTTCTGACTGCATAGTGATGCTGCTGCATAAACTACCATAGGGTGAGTGCAGGGAACTATGGCAAGGAGAAGATGGACATTGTAGGGAAGATAAACAGATCTAATCCTCTCATCATCACTGCTTCCAGTTGTTTTCAACTATGCAGCAGAGTAGACATACTATTTACTAGTCTGCTAATTTTTTTTTTAATGTGCCACATTTTCTAGATGCCAAGTAGGTCTGCTCCAACCTCTGATGGCGTATCAGGACAAGATTTGCACAGTACAATTTACGAAGTCATTCAGCACATACCTGCCCAACAGCAAGACCGTCCAGAGTAAGTATGAACTTACATTTGGTGATGCTCCTTTGGAGGGGCTGAGTGTTCAGCCCCTGCTTTGCCCAGAATTTACTGAAAGGCTCAGAAGAAAAATATTAAAACAGGAAGTTATAGCTTCTGTACATTTGAACACACTTCCCCACTGGAAAATAATTTTGGGGAAAAAAAATAGACAGACACACAAGTATCTTCTAGGGTTGTGCACTTGGGCCAGTGGACTAGATGCAGAGCTCAGGAATCCAGCATTTCCCTCCAATGAGTCTGGGTATGAAAGATTTTCAGGCCAGGTCTCAAGCCTGATAATCTTGGTTATCTTGACAATTTTCCAATGACTGTGGTGATTTTAGAGCCAGTGATCTGTCACTATGACTAGGACCAGGAAAAAAAGCCCTACAAAATATGCACAGCCCTGTCACCATCAAATGTCCAACCTCTTACAGATTCAAAGCAGTCTACTCTCAAGTGAACAGAATCACAGCATGGACTGGCCTCACATCCAGAGATGGTAAAATCTGAGCTGACGCCAAAGCCAGGAAACTACTTATCCAGTTAACCTCAGGGCTGACACTAAGGAGTTGCCCTCCCTTCCCTGGCCACCACAGAGAAACTAAGCCTACAGCCTTTTGAAATAATGAAATGAACTTCCCCTTTTTGTGCTATAGCTGCCTGCAGGCATAACTGCCACAAATCATCTTCCATCATTTCTTTGTCATTTATTGACTTTGAAAAGAACATCAATAACCACACACAGGAACTTCCCCTCTGGCAAAAGAAACAGTTCTAGAGAAGTAATTCATGCAAACCTCTGGATAAATACCAAAAATAACAGCTAGCAGTGGATGAATGCATGGGAAATCATCTTAGGGGGAGGAGACCCAGTCCTGGGGGAGACTATGCAGTCATTTAAGGGCTAAGTGGCAGGACACCTCACAGGACCCCATCAGTGCATTGCTTCTTGACCCAGGGAGCCTGGAGAAAAGGGAGTCAGGTAAATTAGGAGCAGACCCTGACAGACTAAGAATTTCTGGCTTGAAATGAAAATGTTTTAAAGAATTATATTATTGGGGCACCTGGGTGGCTGAGTCGGTTTAGTGTCCTACTCTTGATTACGTCTCAGGTCATGATCTCAGGGTCCTAGGAAGGAACCCCAGGTAGGGCTCCCTGCTCAGCGCCTCCGAGAATGCTTTCCCTCTCCTTCCCGCTTTGCCCCTCTCCCCCTTGCACCACTCTCTCTCAAATAAATAAATAAAATCTTAAAAGAATTATTTAAATGCTGTATTTAAAAAATCAGAACACAAGAGTGAAATATTATTCCATGACAGTTAAAAAGAAAAAAAAAAAAAACCTCTCTGACTCTCTTTACTTCTGGAATAGAAAATTAAGGGATTTTTGTTGTTATTGTTGTTGTTAAATGTAAGGAATAGAAGGAATTTTGAGAGTATGTCCGCTTCCCAATTTTAAGATTATATCCATTAGGAATTTTATCCTATTTAAGTTCATGTGTTTTTCTATTTGTCATTTATTCTGCATTATCTTTTTTTTAATTTAGAATGCAAACAAACCAATGAAAACTTGAGGTTTATCTTTTAAAGCTCCCAATGATAAAACAAATGTTGATTTATTTATAAAGCAGTAGAATATGGCAGCTATTATTTCAGAACACAAAGTGATCAGGTTGGTTTTGCATGTTAAAAAAAAACATGATTCTCTAAGTTAAAGAAGAAAATCACCCTCTGAAACTAGACTGCTTTCAGATATGAGCAATATCTTTAGAGTTTCTTGGGAATATAAAACTTTATTTTAGAAATAAACTCAGAAGGTTGAAAATAAAGCAGAAATGTTCTTTTTCAAGCACATAATGGACTATTCAAACTGCTATTGAGGACATGCTCCCTCGAGGGGCAGCAACCTGAGAACCCCAGTTCACACCACCAGTCCTCTGTCTCCCTTGCCTTGGCTCACCTCCTCCCCTGTCCTCCTGCTCTTTCTTTGCTTCCCTTCCTGTGTCTTTGTCTTCCAAGGACTCTCTCTTCCTTTACCTCCATCCTTCAATATCTGCCCTCTCTGAATACTCCCTTCTTTTTTCTTCTCTCTCTGGAAGACTGTCTCCCTTCTCTCTAAAATCTCTTAAAATTTTCCCTTTTACACTTATTTTATTTACAGTCAATTTACAGACATTTCCAGAACATTATCTTCTAGGGATAGAGATTAGGTAAGGCTAAATCTTTTAAGGATTCCGTAGTTTAGCAGGCTCTTGTTTGCATATTGTACCTAAAGACTAGTGGTCCTTAGTAGAATAAATATTCCTCAATAATTAAATATTCCCTAAACATGCAGAGGGCATTTTTCTCTCCTGATTGCCTATGGCTTTAGTCTTTAAGTTCAACTAAACTCAAAGATCCATTTTATGCATAATGCAATATTACAGGTGGCTGGTGAATTTCTCTCCTCCCCGCTTCCCAAAGTGAATGTGCAAGCTCTGGGTCAAGAATAATAACTTTCTGCTTTCTTGTACCTCTGTTTGACAGTTGCTTCTGAGAGAGGAAAGACAGCAAAAAAATTCTTTTCTTTGGCTCTTAGACTATTCTAACACTGTTGTTTTCATTACTGTATGTGTCTGTTACCTAATTGGACTGGTGTTTAACAAATTGGTAAGTTGACCTGTTTTCATATTTTAGTACTCAGCCCCGTTATTTGGTTATTGAACTTATGGCTACATTTATTTAAATGCTCTCTGTTGACCTCATTAAATGCTCCTGGCACAGTTTGTTTTGAACCCGTGATTGGCCGTTAGTATCTTAAAATCGGGACATTTGAGTAAGTAAACCTTTACTTTCAAAAGGAAATTATCTACAGAATTTAGTGATTGCTTATTTACACTTATTGGTTTATAAATGTAATTTTCTTGATCTAGTTCAAAACACTTCTATTATTTGCAGCTATGGAAAGGAATAAAAAATTTAAGGTTCTTCTACCTGTGGAACTGGAAATCTATAGAGTATTTTACATATCTTGTAACATCTTTTTGCCAGGTGAGCATTCATGGGTAAAGCGGTGCATTGGAGTGAAATAATGAAGGAACATTTTGAGGAAAAACAGTGGAAATGTATATTCATCTGGAATCAGTGAAGAAATCAAGCCCAATACCTCTTGCTCATTACTCCTTTTAAATGCAGAATAGAGTCATTTATAAAAATTGCACTGAAGATTTTCCAGCATACACACAATGCATTGTGTTATAGAGGAACATGGTGGGGAAGTAGTCCTCAGTGGACAATCTTTATCACAGTGACTGAGAGGGGAAAAAAAAAGACGGGACTTTCCAATTACTCCAATCATATCAAATTTCTCTAAGAAGCTCAATTAATTCTAATCTATACTTTCACTTTCATCAACATTGACTATCCTATCTAATTTATGAATGTGGAAACTTTATATTTGTAAAATTTCTGGTAGCTTTGTTTTATTAATTCTCATTATTGTTAAATTACTATATTAATTTTAAATTTTATTCCCAAACTTACTTCCTGCTATTTGTACCACACAATAAGGATGGCTCTCACAACAGCAAGACTTGCCTTCTCCTAGGTTGTCAGTTACCAATGGCTTTTTTGAAAAGACATAAAATACTGAAGGAAATGACATATTAAAGTCTTATTTTTATTTTTGTTCAAGGAAAGATGGATTGAAATAAATTATTCTGGTTTTGCTTTTATATGACCCTGACTCTTTGTCTTGTAGGGCAAAAATTTTACATAAAAGTCAGATTGTACAATTAGATTTTTATCCTTATTTCCCAGTGTGCAATAAAGTAGATTATGGAGAACTACTAAAATAAGAATCTTGCTCTTTCATGGCTATTTTTCTTTTCAGGCTTGAAATTTTTACTTGATTGAATTGCTGATTCTGGGAGAGGTCTCCCTTGTATATTGCTGTATTTAAAAAATCAGTAGACCAAGTGGTAGAATTAGAAAACACCATTTTACGGGCGCCTGGGTGGCTCAGTTGGTTAAGCGACTGCCTTCGGCTCAGGTCATGATCCTGGAGTCCCGGGATCGAGTCCCACATCGGGCTTGCAGTGTGAACCATTGTATGATCTAATGTCACTTAAAAATTCCCTATTGTTGAATATTTGGGTTGTTTCTACCTTTATTTGGCCAGAATGAAATCTTAAAGTGTGGCATTGTCTGCTTCTCCCTCTGACCCTCTTCCCTCTCGTGCTATGTCTCATTCTCTCTCTCTCAAAATAAATAAATAAATAAATAAATAAATAAATAAATAAATAAATAAGAAAACACTATTTACAACCTCCAGGTGAAATAACTGATTCACATCACAATCATCATTAGCCAAGACTGCTAGATAAATGGTACCAGATAAAACTAGATGACCAAGGATCAGGTTGCAGAAACTCTGTGAAGGGAAGGTGGTCTGAGACCTAGAGAGAAGCAGGTATACGAAGTAGCACAGAGGCAACTGTGCAGGACGCAAGAGGCCCAGGGAGTGGGCACAGAAAGGTCATCTGAGTGTTGTAGGTCTTGAAGACGAAAGATGAATATTTATGTGTAATGACATTGGCTACAAACACTCTGACCTGACAGTGCCACACTTTAAGATTTCATTCTGGCCAAATAAAGGTAGAAACAACCCAAATATTCAACAATAGGGAATTTTTAAGTGACATTAGATCATATAATGGTTCACACTGCAACTATTAAAAAGAAGATATACACCTGTATTTACTGACTTTAAACTATGTCTCATGAGCTATTATTTTATACACAAGAAAGAAATGACAAGAATAGCATTTCTTTTTCAGTGTTTCAAAGGAACCACTGTATTTACACTGTACTTGCCGCCTTTTCATAGAAGCACATGGTGAAAGGAAAATTAAGACTAAGTCCCACAACCCCTTTCTGGTCTTCTTTCTCTACCACCTCATGTATTTCTCTGCTGGAAAAGTCCACCAGTCCTACCACAAACATTTTCTTTTGCATTTGGTATAATATATATTCATATATATGTGATATATTATATATTATATGATTATATAATTAGATTATATAATATAATTAGATTATATAGAGATTTTATATATATGTATTATCAGAAAAGGAATTAATGCCCACTGTAAATAAATATATAATATATATACATACATACTTGGAAATGCAGATGGCTAACCATAAGATAATTAAAATCACCTGTAGAGAGTAGCTCTTAAACAGTCTCACAACAGCAAAAAAGAAAATTGCAATCATGTGAGGTGATGGTTGTGTTAACTAACCTTATTGTGGTAAATTATTTCACAGTATGTACATGTACCAAATCATCACACCTTAAACTTACACCACAATATTATATGTCAATTATATTGCAATAAGGCTAGAAAAATAATATAAAATCACTTGTACTCTCACCTCTCAGAAATAACCTGTTAACGTTTTCCTAAACTAGTTATGCATGTATTCTTTCATACACCTTCTAGTTCCAGAAAGGATTTATGGTAGCTCATATAAATGCATAATGTAACAAGATAAAATACACCCAAAAAATAAAGTTGATAAAGAAAACAGGATGAAGGAACAATGGGAGTTTACAAAGGCAAGTTGAAAGCAGAAATGAGGTTAATAACCAGTATGATGAATTCCCCTTCATCTCTGAGTATTGTTTTATTACACCAAGATCACACAGCATATACAGGTGGATGTCTATGGAGGGACTTCTAAACTGAATGCAATTTGTAACTGTCAGAGCCAAAGAAAGGTTGCGATCCCCTCACAGAACTGGAAAAGAGCAGGTCAGCTTTCCCAGCCACCATTTACTGAAGTTCCATCTGCCTCTCTCCTCCTTCCTCAATCTTGAATTCCCTCCCTCCCTAAGGCCCTTGCATGTCTTACTTGAAGAGCAGATTAACTACGATGAGCAACAGCTGTATCTCTGTGTTCCCCTTCCAAGACCCAACCCTGGAACACTTTCAATCACAGACCATCTTATACAGCCTTTTCTTGAATAGGTAATAATACATTCACATGGTTCACAATCAAAATCTTATAAAGTATGTGCCAAGACAGCTGTTTGTATTCGTTTTTGGTTTTGGTTTTTGGTTTGGCTAATTTCGTGTCTCCCTCCAGAGTATCTTACGACAAACCAAAGGAAATACAAACACATATTTTTATTTTTTCAAACTCACTTTTCAATCACTTGTAATTCCTCTAATTTTTGTATTGCTCTCTCACACACAAATATACAGACTCTTAGAGCATGGTTCCACTCAAAGCAACAAGGAGGGCACCTGGGTGGCTCAGTTGGTTGAGCGACTGCCTTCAGCTCAGGTCATGATCCTGGAGTCCCGGGATCGAGTCCCACATCGGACTTCCCGCTCAGCGGAGAGTCTGCTTCTCCCTCTGACTCTCCCCCCTCTCATGCTCTCTCTCTCTCTTTCTCTCTCTAATAAATAAATAAAATCTTAAAAAAAAAAGCAACAAGGAATTGCTTAAGGGAGAAACGTGAAAGGGTCTAGAATCCAATTAACTTTTGCCATCAATGGTGTATAACACCGGGTGACTCACTGCTTTTTTAGTATATGGGGATGAAAATCTCATAAATTAATCAAGGTTTCCAAGGGAAGTGATGAACCAAACCCAGATGTTTACCTAACAAATTAATCTTTTAAAACCAGCTTAAAGTTCTTTCCTTATTACTAAACATAATCTTAGCTGAGCTCTTGTTAAAATTTTTAACTTTCTATTACTGCTTCTAACTTGGAATAGAATTGTATTCCTAGTGTTCATTAAAGAATATATCCTACTGATAGACTTTTAAACAAAAATAAATAAAATACTTGTGAATAAAAGTTTCCCTCATTTTTCTGACATTTGTGCACTTCCATGTTAATACAGTTTCAGCTAAAACAAACTGCATACATACACTCAGAGATAGTCCATGTGATCACTCAGTTTTATGAGATCATAACACCTTATAAAGTTTTGCTAAAATAATAAAATTGAATGATAACACAATGCATGGCATATGGGTAGCAGTTTATATATTATTAAAGATTTAATTTATTTTTAGGAAGTTTTTATTTTCTATTTCTATATTGCTGTGTATCCCTGTGAATTCTTATGTTATTCTTATATATTCCTCTAAGGTTCATGTTCAAATATACATGAATGTGTATGTTTTAATTTCATGAGGCAGTAAGAAAGCAAAGGTTTCTATCTCACCAGCAGACGTGGAAATCAGACATAGCACTTGGATTTAACACTGTTACTCTCATCTCCGAGATAGTGTTTATTGGCATTACCATGTTAGCCTTGAGGTTTATAAACATTTTCATATTCATTACCGACTTTGATCTTCACAAGAACCTTGTGGGCTAGAACAAGCATGCCCATTTTATAGATGAAGAGAGATTCAGGAAGTGAAAAGACTCTGAAAATCACCAAACCATCGAGTGGCAGAGCTGATCCCTAAACTGCATTTCTGGCTCCAAGTCCAGGGTCTTTTCCATTGTACCACATGATTTCTCTGGACAGGGCACCATGGAGTGGAGTGCACATAAATTTTTCTTCTGTCATCCCTACTTTATAGGAACTTCATTAGTTTCAAATACCACTGGGCCTCCAGCGAACAGGTTATTTCTTTTTTGTGTCTGAGAACTTTCTCACTTGAATATGCTCCTAAGAAAGATGACAGCTCAATTACTTGCCATTCAATAGGGCATAAACTGGCAGAGTGCTTCTTCCCTGCAGCAGAATTCCACCTTAGGTTAGTGACAGAAGGTTTCTGAAGCTTCACAGCAGTCCCTTAAATTCTACATAAAGCAGTTGTCCCAGGAGGTGGGGACTTCAGAGACCCCCATGATAGCATACTCTTCTGAGTGTCCCATATGGCATCCATCCCAGCATATGTACTTTAGAACACAGACAATAAATGTTTTTTTGAACTGTACTGAATTAGATTACCTGCCCTCTGTATATTTAATGAAGACTCCATTTAAAGGAGGCAAATTATCTGTGTTTCCAATAACCAAGTTCCTCTGAGACTGATTCTCAGGGGCACTTGATAACTTTGGGAACTATTTTTCCTGCAGTTCACTGAGACCCTATCAAACTGTTTAGATCTTCAGAAAGAAGAGTTATCAGGGTCTGACTGTAACTACAAAATTTTATCCTTATTACTTATAAAATAACTAGTTTATGACCTACAGATCACTTGTCAGGACTATTTTAGGATTCCAAATAGAAATGCCTGATAAACAGTTGTATATCCAACATGAGACTGAGGAGAGGCCTGGATTTAAGAAGTAAATTTGAATCATTTTTATATACTTACAATGCCTTTTGCAGCAAATAACAGAAAACTCTGACTAAAACTGACTTAGAATAATTTATTATACCAAATGACAGGAAGTTCAAATGCAAGGTAGACTCCAAGATTGGTTAATTTAACGACTGAACAGTATCCTCAAGAACCCAAGTTCTCTTCCATTTCTCCACTCCGCTCTCATGGTTACAGATGGCTGCAGCAATTCCAGAAATTATATCTAGACACCACAAAATCCAGAACATGGAAAAAAAACCACCTTTTCCTAGGTTGTTTTCTTATATATAAGGAAACCTTTCCCGGCAGCCTCCACCAGAATTCCAGTAGTTTTTCCTTGGCTATACTACCTGTCCTCTCCTAAAGGAATTACTGGCAAGAGGTAT